GACATGTTGACCGGCGAAAAATAATCTAACTGAAACTCTGCCGCACGGTCCCCTCGTCCCTTGGAAGAGGCGGAGAGGTGGGTGTTCTTCATCTGCTGGTGGACTACCGGAGAGATTTACAGCAAGAGCAAACGCTTGCCTCGGGGAGGGAGAAAAAGAGCCAGAGCGTCCACAGCAGAGAATAAACAGAAGGGCAACCATGGCAACCATGCGCGGGAAGACTTCTGTGGCATATGTACTACAGCGTCTCCAGCGCTTTCGAGCAGTCTCGTGTAGGGGTGTAACGGTTCACATAATTCACGGTTCGGTGTGTACCTCGGTTTGGGAGTCACGGTTCGGTACGGGTTCGGTGTGGGGGAAACTTCTGTGTAGTAATGCATTGGGAGTCACCGACTCAGGAAGGAGACACGGTGAGAGTTGGAGCTTTTGATGTCAAACACTGATGGGTTTATTCAGAGTATCGGCCGGAGGATTCACATCACAAGTCAAAGAGTCAGAGGTTCTGACTTCACGGTAGAGTTGCCACGTCAATTCTGAAGAGCCTCTCTCTATGCTAGACCTTTTAACTGGTTCACAGAGAGAAATCAACATCTCTGAAGGAGTAGACTAAACAGCTGGGAACACTGAACCACCTGCGTCCGACACTCATGGCCTCAAAGATTTCACATCTTAGAGTCCACAAACACCGATAAAGAAGTGCCTCAGTGTTCTCACAACAATTACCATTCGTGCCACACAAGTTGACTGGTAACAAACTGGTAACAACAACACATATGGCACCAATGCCTTTCCTTAAAGGAGATAACAGACGTCAGAGTAGATCATAAAACGTCACAGAGCAAAAGGTTAGATATCTAGAAGAATTATTCCTTAACATTCGGTACAACAAGAAAAAGCTAAAAAAAAAGTCCCAAATGCATAATTCCAGGTTTGTTGTTATTTATTTTTGAACAGTAGCGCAAGTTTCAGTATAAAAATAAGGAACTCTAACATTTTGAATAATTAACTGTAAAACAAACCACAAACAGTACCACACACACTCAGATGGCCATATTATCTATAATGGCTGATCTCAAACAAGAAGGTTTCATCAAGCTGTAAAACTAAAAAGAATGTCTTGAAAATATTACAAAATAAATAATAAAAAAGTGTTTCAAGGGCGCATAGCCGTTGAAATATATATGCCAATAGCTTCCGTTATTTATTTTGGTCTCTCGGCTTGCATGTCTATTGGCTTCTTAAAAACAGCGGGGATAAGCTGTTGAACTGCTGTTGTCTTTCGCCGGGTTCTGGTGATTGGCAAATCTGGGTGATGCCTTCTGATATGATTTAGCATGTTTGGTGTGTGTTACCCAGGTGTTACCATTAGCATACCGCACCGCTGTCGAACAACGCCGACACACCGTCCTCCCGATCCACCACTCGCACTCCATTGTTATTGTAGTCCACAGGGAACCCGAAATGTTCCCTCACAGCTGATGTAAAAGAAGCAGGTGGGTCTTCTAGCTCCTGTGTGTTATCTGAAATCGCCATACTAACTTCACTTCTTCTTGTATTTTGTTCGTTTTGTTGTGTTTTCTTCTTGTTCTTCATTTGTTGTTTAAGGGCGGCAGGCAAACCGCTTTTAGGCGCAATACCGCCCCCTGGATTATATATAGTGTAATGGATACTGCCCTGAGTGACAGACTTTTTTCCCTTCATAAAAAAAAGGCGTATTCGTCGTGTGACTGCATGTGCCGAACCGTGACGTCCGAACCGTGACGGTTCGGGACAAATACGGATACCGTTACACCCCTAGTCTCGTGTGAACGGACACGTTTCTGGTGCCTGTTGCGTGTGGACGGAAGACTTTTTTGATATCGATTTCAGTCTGTTTGCGTTATCGTCCTCGTGTGGCTCCAGCCTAAGTTGATGAATAATGTTTCAGGGGTGATGGTTTCTGGATGATGGTTGACAGATGACTTTGGGGGAGGTTATTGTTGCTGGATGATGGTGGTGAAGGTTACATTTGCTGACTGCTGCTAAGAATATACTTGCTGTTTCCCAGACAATAACATAAGACATAAGAACAGTAATGAAAATATGATAAGTAGAATAATTACACAATGGTCATTGATGTCCTTTGGAATCAAAGCAGTGGCTTAATATTCGGGTGAATCGTTTGTTAGAAACATGTTTTAGAAGCCTTGACTTTTTGGGAGGTTTATGATGTTGACTGTCCCCCCCCCCCCCCTCGTCTACACTAGCAATTGATATTGTTTAGAAACAAACTTAAATAATTGTTGCTTGAAATGCAAATCCTCACACTATAGTGCATCAATAGGTGTGAAATATGTCATTCCCATCCATTCAAATATGACTAGCTGAATCCATGTCGCTGATAATAACAAAATGGGCTCATTGGTTGACTTTGCCTATATTTAACCATTTACATTTTCTGCAAAAGGCTTCTGACAAATCCAATATCAGATATTTTTAAGCCGTCAGGAGCAGAAAAAGTCTAGCACAACCTCTGGTCAGGAGTTTGCAAGCGTTTTTCAAATCAATTACATAAGTATGATAGGATATTTCAGCGTGTGCATAATGGAAAGAGTTTGCTATTCCAAAGCTCCAACATGGAACAAAACAGTCTTTTAGGATGAAGTGGTACCAAAGATGTTTATATGTGTTTTGTTGAGAGATGAGGCGCACAGAATACACTTGACAAAGTAATCACCATTTTCTGGCTTCATCCACTGAGGGTGAATCTGGTGTTTGAAATGTTATTATCATACTGTCAATGATGTGTCGTGTTTTTGTTCCAGTCTGACCCCCCACCCCCATCTCTTATTCCTGGCTCTCTGCAGTTCGTTGTAGTTGCCTTGCACAAACACAAGCATTTAGGTTAGGATGATAAAATGTACCTACAAATTACAGTTACCTCTGTAGGGAGAATAAAAAGTCACAGCTGCACTTCATTAGTCATCACACATTTCAGTAATAATGTATTACTTATGTGACAGTAACACCTGCAATGGATACACACAAAGACACCAATACCAAATGTTAATATGTTAACATCAGCAGGGTAGGAAAGGGATATGGTAGGATCCAACTTAATGCTAACAATAAATGTTAATAAGCTAATGTTCTGTTAATGATTGGCTTGTTGTGTTTGGGGAGACTTATATCACCTTTTTTATCCTGAGATACTGTAAAATATGATTTATATGTTAGTAAAAATGTATGACTTTTCATTGGCTTACAGACCTGACGGTCCTCAGACTGGGTCACAGTTTGAACACTCTGCACAGAGATGAGTCACTTATTTACTTTAACGCACATTTATGATTTTTTGTCTGTGACATTCATTTGTGAGGGTGATCTTTATAAATGCCTTCATTATCATATTCTCTGGAAGTGCCACTATAACATTGGAAATATTGGCTAAATTCCTATGTGACCTTTATTTGAGTTCCCTGCTTAAGTGGCCTGCAGTATGTGTAGTGATCTATTATATTATGTAGTTGACACATCCTACCTTTTCATCCTTAATAAAATGATTTTATGTTGTAAAGGTGTATTATACTCCTACACTGTGGGAAAGACGCAATACAAATATTTCACTGACAGTAACATTGCCTTACACTGATATATTATTTTGTTTCCTACTAACCTTTACAAATAACATTTCATTTCATTCAGTAATGTTGTGGAGGGATTAACATGGCGAGATTATGATAGATATATTCAAAACGCAGTCTGCCAGGGTCACATGAGGTCTGGTATAATCTCCTCATTCTGGGTCTGTTTTCTGAAACACCTTAGCTTACCTTAAAAATAAAATGTAGGACAGTTGATTCTAACACAAAGGGGACAGGAAGTGTAATCAGGTGCAATCTGAACATTTTGAGGTCAAGGCCAAAAACATGTTTATGGGAAATTTGCTCTACTTTTACCGCGATAAAAGACTGTCTCTGTGAGATCTGCTGTTTTAGATGTAAAGACCATTGGTGACGTAACTGGCAGGCTTTAAATGACACCAAGCATCTTGATGTTAGATCAGGTGGAAAATCAGCTGCAATGCACTTTGACTTTTGGTGCAAACAATGCCACCATGAGCCATCATTCTGACATCCCTCCACATGAATGCATCTGTAGCCTATGTACTGTGTGTGTTTCTGGCCTGTTTAGAAAAAAAAGAAATTAACAGAATGAACATTTTAATATGTATCTTAACCTCAGTGTCTGTTCTCAGTGCTTCGGCATCATGTCTTGTACAGTAAGTAGCCATTCTCGTTTCAAGGGGTTAGGGCTGTAGCTTACCTACATAATAGTCAGCGGCTGATTAAACATTTTTGACAGAAAAAGGCTTTTCAACAGTTAAAAAAAGCAGGAGTCTACTTTTATTTGTCTGAAATCAAGCACATATTGTTTATAACATGACAGATATACAGAGCGGGGCATAGCAAAGCATGAGTTGTTCCCACCATAGTCTCATTGTTAGTCATGCTAGCTGCAGCTAAAGTAATAACTGTTACTGCTGTATTTCGTTTTTTGTGCAAACAGCTGTGAGCGTGGTTGCTCCAGTAAACATAGCACTATACATTACATGTTATACATATGTATTTGTTTCCGCCATTTAAGTAAGTACCACAAAACTGGTCTTGAAAAGAAGTCACCAATCGTTACATCATGTTATTTTTTTAGCAGTCTGTAATTATTTGGTACTGGCAGCGATCATTTCTAGCTAGCTTGCTATCAGTGGTTATCGTTACAAGGCAGCACTGCGGGTTTGAGAGACCACTACACGGTCCATGCACTGAGCATGTATCCGATTGTAGTCGTAGCATAGGTAAACATTACACCTCCATAACAACACAGAATGTTAGCATGATGATGCTACAACAAGGTGCTAGCATGGCTCTTCAGAAACATTATTAGAGATTATCAGTGTGATATTCAGAACAGTGTCATTTAGTGTAATTTGTAATATTCTTATTTCTCTCTCTTTCATCCAGGCTGCCGTCTGATGAGCTCCATGGACCCCCTCTTCTGCATCTCTCTCCTGTTCCTGCATAAACTTCTCCCCTTCCTGTTGGCCCACTGAATAGACTTCAACCAAAATAATGTCGACCTGCAACGTTCTCACTTTCTATACCAAAAACCAAACAGCAACAAACACCAGTCAGAGGGGTGGAAGGGTCACAATAAAGCAATGTATACCGTTGCAACAAATCACTGCAGGGAGGTGAAGCAGAGCGAAAAGGACTGAGGAGTCGGACAGAGGACACTGAAGGAAGCGCAGCAGAAGGACGCTCCTCAGAGTCCAAACAGACATGGAAGCTACATGACTGTCGGCCCAGCAGAGTGTGGAGAGGAGAAATGTGCTCCTGGTGAATGATGGGAGCATCACCACTGATCCACACAGCCTCACATAGAGGCCACATGCAGCCTGTATTCTGCACCGCCTCATACACTCCTTTCTGTTGCAGCATTTCCATGATCACTTCAATGTGAGTCCTACTGCTGACATGTGTTATATGGAGACATGTGACTGTTATTTCTTTAATCAGCTGATCATTTTTCTGTAGCCATGTGAAGCCTCTTCATTATTCTGAACATCCTCCAGTGTGTCGGTCTGCTGTGTGTTCACCCCCTCCCGCACAAAAACACACTCACTTTTGTTCTCATCGCTGTGTTCTAAAATGTGAACAACAAATAATAAGTTTAAATAGCTGATATATTTTGATTAAGATAAGTCACATCTTACCATTGTTGTTGTTAATCACCTCTAATAATGTTTATTTTTATTAAATATATGGTGATCAAATTAAGACATTTCATTTCTATGAGACAAAAGGGATTCATTGGTGACTTGCCAACAGCCGTTGAGATGAAGGTATATTGTTTTTGTAATAAAACGTAGATTTCAAAAGAGTTGCATGGTGGAGGCTTTCTTTCATCACAGAGGGATATTCACAATCACACAGAGTAATAATAGTAAGTAGAAGTACACACTATGAACGTAAAGTGGGTGTGATGGACTGAAGGGATGAAGCTGTCAAATAAATGACGGAACAAAACAATATTCACAGAGGTGGAAAGTACTCAGATCTTGTACTTGAGTAAAGGTAGAAGTACCAGAGTGTAGGGATACTCTGTTACAAGTAAAAGTCCTGCATTCAAAATGTTACTTAAAGTGGACCTATCATGCTATATTTAAATGATATATTGTAGGGCCATACCTATATAATGTATATTTATACGTTTCTGTTTTCAAAATACCAAACAGATCATGCATTTTAGCCATGCCTCATTTCGCTCTATGTGCTGTTTGCTGTCTACGGGTCTGATTCTGCTGACCACGCCCCCCTGCAGGAGAGGTGAGCCGTGCTCTGATCAGCTGCTGGGCTGTCAGAAGAGGGGGAGAAAAAGAGATCTCCGTCCTCCGTGTTTTATTATATAGAGTCGTTATTCATTTGTTTTAAAGCTCAATAAATAACAAAGAAGACCTTTGACCGGCACTTTTCTAATTTTGTCCGGAAGATTTAAACTTTAACGGACATCTTGACCGGCGAAAGTAACTGAAACTGAAACTCTGCCGCACGGTCCCCTCGTTCCTTGGAAGAGGCGGAGAGGTGGGTGTTTGTCATCTGCTGGTGGACTAACCGGAGAGAATTACAGTGCTTGCCTCGACGGGCGTTTGCAGCGGGAGCAAACGCTTGCCTCGGGGAGGGAGAAAAAAAGCCACAGCGGAGAATAAACAGAAGGGTAACCATGGTAACTATGGGCGGGAAGTCTTCTTCGCTGCTTTTGTGGCAGACTACAGCGCCACTTACAGGCCTGGCATATGTACTACAGCGTCTCCAGCGCTTTCGAGCGGCAATGGCCGGCTGTGGCCCAACCCCACATTCCCCTGATAGGTGGAGAGTTGGCCCAATAGCCGTAGCGCCACCATCCTGACGTCAGGACAGTGTTCAAATCTGGATCAGTTTTTATCAGATCCGTTGCAGCCCCTTTTTTAGAGATTTGGGTATGGAGGAAAATAGAGAGGGTTGTGTTTTCTGACACTGGGTGAGTTCCCTGGAACACCGGGGACACATATTCATGTATAAAAGACGTACAAAAGTGCATTTTGCATGATAGGTCCCCTTTAAGTAAAAGTACAAGTATTCAGATCAAAAATCTTTGTATTACGTTTCTACAATGGATAACGGGTTTGTCATTTAGAAATGGAAAGCAAAACGTATGCATATACAAATGAAACAATGGTTTGTACTGGTTATATGTACAAAGGGGAAAATACAGAACAATGGAAAACACAAAACAAACAATAACAACGACTAAAGTAATCCCCTACTTTCATAGCCAGTGTGCCTCATACACACGAATATTCACCAGAATTATCGTTAAATGGATATATATGCATGTAATACATATGCATAAACATACATGCAACATACACAGATACACATCTACTGTATTCATACACACATACATATGCTGCAGATAAGCTATACCAATAACAGATAATTTCACAGTGTGTAATGCATTTCAAAAAGGTCCCCAGGCTTCCTGAAATGTCCTGTTTGAGTGTAGAAATGAATATCTGATCTTTTCCAGTTTCATGCAAGAGATTACGTCCATCAACCACTGTGAGTGAGTGGGCGGGACACTGTCTCTCCACTTAAGCAGAATGGCTCAACGAGATAGGAGGAGAAATGGAGTTAAATGCATTCCTTTCCTATCAGAATCAGAATACCTTTATTAGTCCCACAGAGGGGACATTTGCATCGTTACAGCAGGAAAGAGCCACAGACAGCTTAATGTTACCTATGTTAAGAAAAAAGTACTAAGTTATGATATAATAAAAATATAATATAAAAAATAAAAGTAAAAGAAAAATACTTTCCAAAATACAAATCCTTTAACAGTTCTTAGGATTTAGCAGCCAGCTATATATTACACAGTTATTAATGGCATATGTATATAATGTATATATTGCACATATAGCACATATTGCACATAGTATGATGGTGTTTAACTGCAGCAAGTTACACAATTTACAAGATACAAAATGCAAAAAAACACACCTTGTAACGGTTCTAAGGATTTAGCAGCCAGTTATAAATTACACAGTTATTAACGGCATATATATATATTGCACATATAGCACATATTGCACATAGTTGATTGGTATTTAGCAGCAAGGGGTGATATAGGCTGTGTTGTGGTGTGTGTAGGGGAGGGGGGGGGGGTCTACTAGGGGTTGTATAGTCTGACCGCTGCAGGAAGGAAGGACCTGCGGTATCTCTCCGTGCGACAGCTGGGGTGCAGCAGCCTGTCGCTGAAGGAGCTGCACAGTGAGGACAGGGTGTCCTGGAGGGGGTGGGACAAATTGTCCAGCAGGGAGGACAGCTTGGCTGCCATTCTCCTGTCTCCCACCACCTCCACAGTGTCCAGAGGATTCCCCAGGACAGAGCTGGCCTTCCTTACCAGTCTGTTCAGTCTCTTCCCATCAGCAGCCGAGATGCTGCTGCCCCAGCAGGCCACACCATAGAAAATGGCTGGTGCCACAACAGAGTCGTAAAAAGTCTGAAGGAGTGCCCCCTGCACCCCGAAAGACCTGTCTCCTCAGCAGAAAGAGTCTGCTCTGTCCCTTCTCGTACAGAGCAGCAGAATTATCAGTCCAGTCCAGTTTATTGTTCAGGTGAACACCCAGGTATTTGTAAGATTTCACAATCTCAATGTCCGCTCCCTGGATGTTCACTGGTGTCGGGGGGGAGTGTTGGCGCCGTCTGAAATCCACCACCAGTTCCTTGGTCTTCGTTGCGTTGAGCTGGAGGTGGTTCCTCTGGCACCAGAGGGTGAAGTCCTGTGTCAGCTCCCTGTACTCCCTGGCATCCTCGTTGGAGATGAGGCCAATGATGGCGGAGTCGTCAGAGAACTTCTGCAGGTGACAGGTTGCAGTGTTGTGGGTGAAGTCTGCAGTGTAGAGGGTGAAGAGAAACGGTGCCAGCACCGTCCCCTGGGGGGCCCCCGTACTGCTGATGATGGTGTCTGATTGACACTCCCTGGTCCTCACGTACTGTGGGCGGTTGGTGAGGTAGTCCAGGATCCAGGAGGTGAGGTGGTGATCCACCCCCGAGAGCTGCAGCTTGTCCCCCAGGAGCGGGGGCTGGATGGTCTTGAAGGCACTGGAGAAATCAAAGAACATGATCCTCACAGTGTCCCCCCCCCCACCCCCCCACCCCCAGGCTTCTCCAGGTGGGAGAGGGACCTCTGCAGCAGGTAGATGACGGCGTCATCCACCCCGATGGCAGGCTGGTAGGCGAACTGCAGCGGGTCCATTGATGGTGCCACAATGGGCCGGAGGTGTCCAAGGACCAGCCTCTCCGTGTGATGTCAGCGCCACCGGCCGGTAGCTGTTGAATTCCTTGGGGCGAGGGGTCTTTGGCACAGGTACCAAACAGGACGTCTTCCACAGTTGTGGTACCCTCCCTTGCTTCAGGCTCAGGTTGAATAGAAGCTCCACAATCCCACACAGCTGATCCGCACAGGATTTGAGGAGCCTCGAGCTGATGCCATCTGGACCCGCCGCTTTCCTCGCCTTACACTTCTGCAGCTCCCTCCTCACCTGGTTGGTTGTGAAGGACAAGGTGTCGTCAGCGGGTGGAGAAGAACCAGGGGCTGATGTGAGAGGTGTCTGTGAGCTGATGACCGGGGGCTGAGTAGAGATGGGAGAGGTGACAGGGCCATTTCCAGGCAGTGGGGACAATGGGGGGTGCGGCAGGGGGGAATGGGTCGGGGGGGGGAGGCGCATGACTGATCAAATCTGTTGAAGAAGTTATTCAAGTCGTTTGCCCACTGGCGGTCCCCCCGGACCTGGGAATCTGGCTCTTTGTAGCCAGAGATGGTCTTCAGGCCTCTCCAGACTCCGCTGACGTTCCTCTGCAGCAGCTGTTCCTCCATCCTCTTCCTGTAGCTGTTTTTCCCCTCTCTGATTTTCCACCTCAGCTCCCTCTGTACAGTCTTCAGCTCCTCTCTGTTGCCAGATCTGAAGGCCCTCTTTTTGTCCTTCAGGAGAGCCTTTATTCCAGGGGTAACTCAGGGTTTGTTGTTGGGAAAACACCGTACAGTCCTGGTGGGTACGACGTTTTCCTCACAGAAGTTAATATAGTCCGTGATGCAGTCTGTAAGGCCGTTAATGTCCTCCCCGTGAGAGTCAGTGAACACATCCCACGCGGTAGTGTCGAAACAGTCTTTCAGGGCCTCCTCAGACCACTTCTTCACGGTGCGTGTGGGCACCGGCTGTCTGTGGACCAGAGGTTGGTACACAGGCTGGAGGTGAACCAGGTTGTGGTCAGAATTGCCCAGGGGCGGAAGGGGGGGGGGGATGCGCTGTATGCATCCTTGGTGTTGGCGTACAGTAGATCCAGTGTTTTATTGCCTCTGGCGGTGCAGGTAACATATTGTTTGAAAGTGGGCAGAGTTTTTGAAAGAGAGGCATTATTGAAGTCTCCAGAGATCAGGAGAAGAGCATTTGGGTGCTGTGTTTGCAGTCTGCTTACAGTAGAGCTGATGACGTCACATGCCTCTTCAGCTTTTGCAGAGGGGGGAATATATACAGCTATCACGATAACATGCGTGAATTCCCGAGGTAAATAGTGGGGCCTCATGCTAACGGCTAACAGCTCTATGTCCCTGTTGCAGATTCGTTCTTTAATAGTGGTGTGCCCTGGATTACACCATCTATCATTCACAAACACAGCCAGCCCTCCTCCTTTCCTCTTACCACTCTCTCTCGTCCTGTCCGCCCTCAGCAGATGAAAACCATCCAGTGTAGCGTTAGTGTCCGGGGTTAGCTCCGTTAGCCACGTCTCAGTAAACACAAGGATACTGCTCTCCCGATACTGCCTCTCATGCCGGGTCAGCAC